TTGCACTGAAAAATTATTTGACGATATAATCGGGCAAAATGTCACAAATAATATAAAAGAATCTTTACTTATATTGTCTTCACAATTTCCTATCAAAATGTTGTAAATTGGTATGAATTTTGAGTGATTTATCAGGACATATCAGGAGCAGCAAAACCTTCGACGTCACAGGCATTATAAAAAAAAAATATGTGATAGAGCTTTGAATTCATTTTCTCAACATTTTCCCAAGAGTACCTGTACAGTTTGAGTTACCTTATCTACTCAACATCCAAACACCATTTCTTGTCAAGCTTAAAATCTATTAAACAAGTAAAGAATATTCTTTTTTGGTTTTAAAACCAAAAACTGCAGGTATTTATGAGATACAGTGTGGCATTGGTCACTCTCATAAACGTTCTTCACGGTCCGGATAAAGTTTTCGTCATTAATCTTCTTCTCGTCCTCCTGTGTAGCTTTTTTACAGAGGTCTAACGGTTTAAAATTTCATTTTGCTATTTGTAGACAAATGTCACAAATACTCTAGTTTACTACACGTAATTTGACAAAAGTGTGGTGCGCCGTCAATTCAGGAGACGTCATTTTCACAGTCGTTTTCACGGGAATCGCATCGGAGAAAAATCACTATACATGTATTTCTGTTAGTACTTCAATAATCATGTCAGAAATCTAAATACATAAAAGTACAACAATTAAAAGATACATCTGAGAAAACTGTCGAAAAATATCCGTATGCCGTATGCTTTTGCTTCAAATTTTTTGTCGTGCTCCGTACATCTCCATCAGCGATAGCAACTTACCTATAATTTTCGTAGAATCTTTTTAAAATAAAAATATTTTGCCAAAAATTTATTGGAATCTTTAAGATACATCTCTCTGTGAAATTTCATAACTATATGACGTCTGTAAGAGTAAATAATAGCACAGTCCGCGTAATTTTTGAACGGCCCTCGTACATGTAGCTTCAATGATGTACATAATATTTTTCTAATGTAGGTGGAATTTTTGGTAAGTAAAATATTCTAATCATTAGCTAATCTTATTTTTAAAATCAACTTTTGAAAATATTATGAATATAAAAAGTATCAGAAATTCAAATTTTATGCAGTATAACTGTTCTCTCATATTTTATCATGTGTCGTTTAGCTTGCGAACTAAACCCAAAGTCTCAGAAGCTGATATTAAATTCCACCATAGAAATCATATGTGTCTATCCAAGTGATATACCTTTAAACAATTCGGTAGTGAGCTTAGAATTCATGCCAATAATTGACTTAAATCAAACAAAAGATGTAACTGTAATAAAAATTACACTTGAACCAAATGTCTTCCGCGTAGGACGTTGGAAGATTGAAGTTTACAAGTCCTCAGCTGCAGTTAAATTTCACGGAGACCCAATTAAATGTGAGGGGAACGGTTATTATTTTTTCACTCTGTATAGTCCTGCTGCGACAGAAAAATTGAGCAGTCAAGTGAACATCAAATATGAAAGTAAGGTTTCTGAAATTTAAAAATATTTTTAGAATTGCATGTAAATAATTATCATAAATGACTGGGATATCATTAATTCAAATAACACTGTACCAAAAGACACGTATGATCTAGACAGATATCCTATGTCCAGAGTTAAAAAATCAAATGATGATTTTACATGATTTACACTGTACCATTCAATTAACTAAACGGTAACTGAAAAACCAGCCAAAATGTAACTCATTGGCGGAGCTCTGCTATTCAGTAACCACTCAGTAAACATTCAGTAACCACTCAGTCGACTGAAGGGTGCAGGTTCATCCAGTGAAGTGCTTCCATATAGTGTGCTGGGATATAAGAAAGAATCTATAGTTTAACAGGTCTTAGTCATTATAAAAATTCATTGCTGTAATTTCTCTTTTGATTTTTTGATGAATATGTATTATATATGATTGAAGGTGAAGTGTCATCTAAGCGAATGGTTATCATAAAATCCAAAAAAGAACGATTTCTACGAGATCACGTGTTCAACTTCCGGCTACCCACCGGCGACAATAATCCTACAGAGGACTATACAGAATACCTACCCTCTTAGCAGTGTAAACGCTTCATGTGTCATGGGATGTAACGAAAAGGATGGTTGGTCTTCTCGCTGTACCGGAAGTATTCCAATGGACTCTGTGACGTCTCTGGATGAAATTACATGTCGATCCATCCACTGAAGATGAAGAGTTGCACAATTTGAATAAAAATGAATCGTATATCATAACTCATAGCTAAGAAATACAAAACGATACATGAGTAAATTAAGATAAGATGATAATTTTTTTTTATTTTCTTGTTGGTGTTGGGGATTTCATTATACCGATCCTTACAAAAATATGTAAATTCACATTAACGGAGACCTTTAACCCTTTATTCAAATCACCAGACTAACATATTGGAATTGATAAAACTAAAAAAAGAACTTGTTCGTTTGGTTGTACATTGTATAACATGACTCTCATAGTGAGAATATACTGACTTAGTAATCCACAAGGTCGATGCAAATTTTATTTCATTTCTTCATGGAGGGGAGAGGGAACACCATATATGGCGTGCAAAAAATTTTGATTTAACTAAATGGTTAAGGATAATTGTATAGCATTTCAAAGATTTACTTATTGATACTATTTATAAAATTTTGAGATTTAAAATTAACTATATATTCATTGATTATATGTATCCACATCTTATTTACTCCACCACTTGAATACTTTGTTGTAAAGTACTCCTGAATTTTTTTTTGTCATCACCACTTATGCATCTTTGTTTGGAAGGATTTTTATTAAGATAATTAAATAAAAATAGTCTTGGTAATTCAAATTAATTTCGGTTGTTTGGGGAGATCAGGATTATTTAAAACTGAAATAAGATTCTAAAGAATGTCTTCCTAAGAAAAGGAGATACTAGTATAAGGTAAAAGACCCCTTTCTGCAATAAATTCCAGTTACTCAAGATCTAAAATACGATTAAAATAATGCGCCTTACGAAGATAATTGTTTTGTTTGCTTTGTCAATTGCGATCAGTACATTAAAATCGTACATTGAAGGACGTGGAGATCTCTCTATGATCTGTCTATATCTTTGTTCATTTTTGTCCCTCAATTGTTTTTTTTTTCATGAAAACATCTGATACTTTTATTCGTTTCAGACAGAGTTGTAAGTCTTCTACTGTGTTATAAATACGTAATCTTTCACCGAATTCATTATATTTATAAAATAAGGACGGCAGCGGTTGAAAAATTGGGATTCCTCAAATAAGGAACCAATTAGAATTAAAAGTAATTTAATGTCCTTACTATTAACTATATCCTCACCCAAGGTGAGTACGTTTCTAGCAGAATTATTAATAGTTGATGGTGATGAAGAAGACGCTTGAGAGTTCTGGTTCAGATGTTCAATATGTAGATACTGTTAAGTTTCTTCACAATATCACAATTATTATAATAGCAATTTCAACATGCAACAATAGATCAGATATTATTACTTACATTTATTCATAAAAATTAAACATGAAAACAATCTACAAGTCAAAAAATATTTGTTAAAAAAGGCGAACGTAATGCATTGAAAAAACAAATTAAAAAGAACTGTTCTGGGAATCATTTAGAATTTATGTACACCTACATTGCATTGATCTCACATAAAAAAAAATCTCTCTTGGGCTTTTCAAGATGATAATTAAAATATCATCATACTAACAGAATTAGCAAATATTAAAATAAAATTGTGGCTTTCCTCAAGGCATGTATTAGAATGATTAGTCAACAGAAAATGGATAACTCAAATATAAAAAGAATAGATCCATTGGTGATCACTTGAGCGTAAATGAGAATCTAGAACTATGATTTACTCTGTGGGATTGTATACTGTATACAGGGTTATTTTCGCCCCGTGTTATTTTCGCCCTTGTGCACTTGAAAACAATTTTGCCCCGTTTTAAATTCGCCCTGTCATAGCTCTGTTTAAGAAATTGTACTGTTTAATTTGAATTCGTCCCGTTTTAAATTCGCCCAATCAAGAAGAGGGCGAAAGGGGCGAAACTAAAACGGGGGCGAAAATTTCCCTGTATACAGTTTATCCCTGCATTCAGGTGATATATTACACTTATTTTACAAGTTGGTGAAGACTGCTTGTTGACCTCACCATCATCTTAATAAAGCTTTCTCAGATTCACATGGTGAAAAAAATATGATAAAGTACACCTACATTCAAACATGATAAGAATCACTTTACAATGGCGAGATTCGATCATGTGTGATCATCAAAACATAAAGATCACGATGGAATAAAACCATAAAGCCTTAATATATCATGCAAGTACAAATACAATGTTGTATCCCTAGCTACAACTTTTCAGAAATACGTTCTGAGCATAAGCCAAAGTCCATTTTCCATAATATGGAATATTCTAGATAAAACATATGGAGATAACAAACAGTATTAAGGTCAAGATCTAGTAAATGACTTTAGAATGAATTTTTAGTGCTAAATCCATTATGACGTCATAATCACTTTCAACTTTCTTTTTCCCGTACTTTACGGCTCTAATAGAATTATGTAGAAAATAAAGTATTTTCATGAAATTCAATTTAAAATCACATGAAAAGTAGTCCCGATACCTATCTTAAATTTAGAATTATTTTAAAGTAGAGACTAAAAACATACAAATAACCGTTTTCTGAAAAGCTGTAGGCAATCTGGATACATTTCCTTAGTCTAATATGGACAAAACTCTTATTTTCAATACTGGTTTTCTTAATTTTTCATTGAAAATGACAGTACAAAATATGGTTTTTCATCTTGTTTTTCTACAAATTAAGCCCCGAAACACATATTTTGACCAAGCTAATGTTATAAAGCATCATTAAAGGAATTAGTTTCTTAAATTTCAAAAATCTGTAGGCACCTTCCATTTACTAGATCTTGACATTAAAGATCAAAAATCCCAAAAACAATACAAAATAGGAGCAGAGCATAGACGGACCTTCAAAACATAAAAGGTTTGATCAGGTGCCACGGAGAAGTGAGCATCCCCTGTCGACCGGTCACACCAACATGAACCTTAATCAAGGTTGGTACGGGCCATATTCTCATAAATGTTCAAAGGGTTTTCCAAAAACAAAAGTTTATCTCTTTGAGAGTAATATTTTTCTCTTAATTCAATTCTCTGAATGTAATCCATGATGTTAAATGGATATCTATATCCATGCTCTCTATATTTAGACACATTCTTATATGAGTAGATTTGGTAGATGATGGAAGCATCTTTTGTATATAGTTCGGTTATTAGTTGACATATATGTCATTTTCTAATATTGTTAAACATGTCATCTTTTTAAGAGACCTTCTATTAATTTAATGCAAGTATTAATAACATATCCAGCTGCAGACTGTTTTGGAAAAAACAAAAGTATGGAAGTCCATTATCATCTTAAATGAAAGTGAGGCAAAGTCCTTTTGATGATAAGCTTTGATGTCAACCTTCCTTTGATATGGAATGCTGTGGTTGAAGAAGAAAGCCAGCTGACTAGGTTCTATTAGGTATTTATTACGACATTCCATTAGATTTGTCTTTGCAATTCCAATGAGGAGATCAATAATATAAGAGAATCCCTTTGCAGAGGCAATATGAACAAAACTAAGTCTTTCTTGTTCGCAAAAACAGCTTAGTGCACGGCAGCTATTAAAAAAGGAAGAACAGCGTAATGCATTTCGGCTACGTTTGGGTGAGAATAGTGTATTGCATTAGGGTTATCTTTATACGACCCATGATTATTGAAATAAAATAAATTTGGTAGAATATATTTGGTAAAATATATTTGGTAGAATATACTTTAACTTTGCAATAATAAATGGTGCTGGATGGACAACACGTTCTACATCAAATGCAGGTAAATTTCCTTTATCAAAGGAACGAATCACATTCAAATTTCCTCCTATCATTGCGGCTTTGAGCAGATTGGCTTGTTTGCACTTTTTTATAACAGTTACAACTTTTTCAGTAAAACCCGTAAATCTTGTGTCATTTATAAACTTATAAGAATTTTCTCTGTCTGTCGTAAAAGATATACCAAAGAGACCTATCTTGATGATAATTTTTGCAGTTGTCTCGAATTAAATCTCTCGAAAACAATGAAGACAGTAATAGACTGTGATACGTTGACTTTTGCAACAGTACTCCTAGAAACAGTACTTCATTTTCCTTGCATATGATATCATAACACTTGGGATACAAAACTTTTATTACAGAAAGCTAATAAAATCGTTTTTTTTTTTCAAAGCATTGTGCATGTAGATAAACAGATCGTACTTTTTAATGAGTCTTGTTTTACTTAATGAAGAAAAAGCTTCGAAAGCAAACCGTTCATAATCATCAAGTATTTCCAGGTTGTGCTTCAAACATCCTGGCCTCCTGAATAAATCCGTCAAGCTACATTTTTCAGGCAAATATGAAATATAATATCCATATTTTGGTTGACATTCTGCCGTGTTTTCGAACAGAACATCTAAAACTGACATCTTATAATTATCTTTTGTGAAAAACTTACGACTTTCAACTTTAAACACAACCATTTCACACGATAAATTAAAATCCAGGCTTTTCGAAATATCATTCACAACCGCTTTTCATAATAAAAATTGAACTTGTAAATTTACTTACCTTATCATTGGTCATTCACAAAATCATTTAAAAACATTCTTATTTAAAACACAAGAACTCTGAAGTTGACATCAAAAAGATGCGTGACTGATTTACAATATCTATGTTGTTTTTAGAGACCAGGTCTTCCAATAATCTATTGGAATTCCCTTTGGTTACTTATTGCATCCCGTTAGCAGACTTATTTTGTATTCATATGAAGCAGAGTTTGTGCAAAATATTATGCGTTAATGGAACTCTAGCAACACGCTCTATGGTAAACGTGATGGCTTTAACTTTTCAACCGTCAACTTCCCTTTACTATGCAGCAATACGTTGTATACCTTCATCAGCTGCATCACTTTATTTATCTCATTTGCCTTGTGAGAGCTTGCTCTACTATAAGCAATTTCTAAAAATTATTGACAAACAAGTTGATTAAACAAGAATGTTAGCACTCCCGTTTAAAGTCGCCATTTCGTAAGTTCACCGGTCAATACAACGACCTTGTCAGCAAAGAGAATTTATCAGTAAATCAAATGTTGTCCGATTTTTTTTTCATTCTTATTGATAGGCCATTATTTACACACTGATTTGTCTACAGATATTTCTGTTATTTCCCGATCAAGTTGGCAGTGGATGTTCACTCCTACATACATGTAGCACCTGATCCCACCTCTAACATTTTGGAAGTTTGTTTGATCATGTTTGATCCGTTCCTATTTTGTAACGTTTAATGTTTTTTTAAAAGAAGAACATAAACAGGATTTGGTTCTCTGGGCACCTGAATGACCAATAAAGTTGACTCGATTGGTGACAGGTGTTTGGACTAAGGCCACTAAAAAGAGGAGAAACAATTTTCAACAAGAAAAACTATTAGCAGAGATGATATGATGTAGCTATATGATAGAAATGGGAAGAATCTTTCCATCAAAGCAAAAAACATCCTGCAGCTGCAAAAGAAAAATTGATATTCAAACAATGTTGGTCTTATAATATTTTTTTTCCAGATCTACACAGGGCGTCCTTTAATTATTTTTTTAGGGTTTAAAACATCTATGAACACACTGCACCTAGGCCTGTTCTGGGTCAGCTTAAATTTGTTTAGTGCGTTGCGTTTTTCCAGGTTGACCTTCCCATACCACCCTATAAGATGGTTTTTCAAATGTGATCCTACCTTGTTTTTTTATATGCACAAAATATTTACATTTGCAAATATCTTTCTTATATGAACTTATTGAAGAGAAAATATGTTCAATTCGGTATGAATTTCATTTGGGGTAAAGGTCATAGGGCGACCGAATCACAAAGTGAAGTTATATTTTTTCTACATATCTCTGTCACAGTGTATCTTTTTTGAAATATATTTCTATGTTAAAAACGATGAAGAAAATAAAATAATAAACAATATGAATATTTATATATATGAATATTTTCCAATCACAAGATGTACAGTAAATTTTCTTTCGGCGTGAATAAGGTTTTAAATGCTATAATAGCCTAAAATCGCACTTACATTTTTAACCCGAAAATCTTTTGGAGCTACAGATGTGTGCCAAAATTTAAGATAAATAAATTATCATAATTTTATTTTTTCTATATATATTTCATTGAAAACAACATTTTGTAAAAGCACTGGTATGATAACCTTTCTTCACAGATTTTATTACAAAGTTCTTGATAATCCTATAAATTATTATGTTTGGTGAAAACAATAGTATTTATCTGATCAGCATTAATATTTTTAAAATATTGTAATTTAATTGCGGCGTGAATTTTTAAGTCACATACAATGAATTATACAGTCAACATTGATCTTGAATTTTAGAACCGATTTAAAATGATGAACTATCTTTTCCAAATTACTAAAAATGCAATGATCTTTTTAAAAAAGATAGCTACATATTTTTAAAATAAATTATAAAATTGGACAAGGATTCATCATTTGCCAGTGATTTTACAAAGTGTTGTTTCAATTGAATGTATAGGAAATTATCTTAAAGTTTGCCACACAATTTTATGTAAACTAAAACAAGCGATTCCATCGCTTTTGACTTCAAATATGAAGAACTTATAAAATAGTAAGATTTTTCTCAGCAGCAATCATTGTTTTTTCACTATAGTAAGATATTTCCTAAACTGGACTGCTAAACATGAATGTAAACATTCAAATATAGGAGCGAGGTGCACTTTTAAGACCAAACAACTTCTAGGTCACAACGTCACAACATAGCAATACGGAGGCCCGTTCATACAAGTAATTAAAAAATGTTGAAAAGTTCTCCGGGAAATAAACTTTTAGTTGGTAAGTGATCAAATCTACTGAGAAGACCTTCGGGCTTTACAGGATTTGATCACATGACCAACTAACAGTTCATTTCCCAGGAAACTTTTTAACATTGTTGTTTATTTTTTAATTAATTGTTTCTTGTTTGTTTTTATTTAACGTCCCTCTCGAGATTTTTTTCAACTCCTTACTTCGCGATAGCTGACACTCAAATCACTGCGCCAAGTGGGCGACTTACACAATTTATGATAAGCATAGTGTTCAGTTGACCTCTAGCCAAGCTGATAAAACTAATGTACAATCCTAACATACATTTTTCAGGCAATTAATTTTACTGGACAATTTACGTAGACTTTCTTATCTTCATAGAACACCTGTGTCATATAAATTCATGCCTCAAAACTTTGCATGCCATTACGTAAACAAAGCTGAGAAATGTAGTTGCTATTTGTCTTTTTTATCGTGCAATTTTCATTTGGGTATTCTAAAAATGCTTGTGACGAAAAACTGGTTGAATTTGAGAGGAAATTAGCTGCTTTGGAAAGTTTTAATCTAAAACTGGCTCGGAACTTAAAAAATACAGAGAAAACGCTTGAAAACTCAGAAAAAGAAGTCAGATCTTTAAAAAATGAGAACATTCATATACGTGAAAAGTTACAAAAGACAACTCTTGGACTCAATGAAATTTCGATGCGCGTTGACAAAATGGACAATGGAAAACAATGTTCCGACAAAAACAAATCGAAAGCTCTAACTAAGTTTCTAGAAAATCAAAAACTTCGGAATTTAACTTACTTAGGTAAAAGTAAGTACAAATGATGTTTCTTTTTTAATTTCATGTTGTAGAGAAGAATACATACTTTTCTATATTACATCCTGTGTCGATCAGCCAGAGACACCAGTATAAGTCAGTGAACCGAAGACCAAAGGGTTGAGATTAGTCGAAGGCTGATACATAATGTGATGTGGATAGGGTATGTTTTATGTTTATTACTGTACATACTCAGTAACCTTGGCGGATCCAGAAATCTTGAAAAATATGAATCAGACCAGTAATTCGGGTCGGGGTAAGGCCAACAGCTGCTCCAAAAAGATGTTTTATGCATTTTTTGGACACAAAAGGGGGCCTGGGCTCCTTGGGTCCCCTCTAAATCCGTCAATGAGTTATAAAATGCTTTGGTTTCATCAATATTCCTTGAGCACCAATTTTCGAGGATTCTCTGCTGAGGAGATCCGAATTGATACCAAAGAAAATTGATGAAAGCACACGTAGACATCAACAAGAGGAAAAAACAACGACAGACTTGTACCTAACATGTACACCTCCGTGCACTTTTTAAACTCACGTGGTTTTGCGCATAAATTAATGTCACATTGATGCATGTACAATGCTAAATCTGTAAAGAGCCAACAAGCTGTATTTAATAAGTGCTTATAACTTTATTCATTTTGTTAATTTGTTTTACTAGCTTTTAAAAAAAATCACCAATTTTATAGGTAAAATTTTGATAGGCTCTTTGTTGATAGATTATGATATTTCCCGAATGATTTTTCATGTTTTCTCATCAAATACAGCATGTTTTTATATGTCTCAATTTTCAAACATCTCTTTGTCTTGTCTAGACACACTGCAGAAAGAGCTAGTGCAGCTAATGGAAATTATGTATTACATGTATCTGTACATTAATGTGACTGTAAAGTGCAAGATGATAAGATTTTTTAAATCTGTTTGACTGCTTTCCATGTTAAAAAGCTGCCAATTTTCTTAGTCACTTTCTGAAATCTAGCATCATAAAAGATACGTTTCACCGCAAAAAGAAATATTATTGTTTTCAAAAGTAACAATTTACTGCATTAAAAAATAAAAAAAAATATACTAAAATTATCCTGTCCTTTGGCATGTTTCATTAGTATTGTCATTTTTGGTGCTATTATATTTTGGCAAAACCAATGACTCGTACTGAAGTTCGATAATGTTCAGTTTTATTGAAAGAAGAATCTGACATTAATTTGTGCGCGAAAATCCACGTGCGCTTAAAAAAGTGTATCACCATTAAAAACACCTTACGGCTATTTGTATCATTGTTGCAGTGTTTTTCCTTTCAAGATCACTGTGTTTTCATTTTTGATACAGCAAGGGTAACTGTGATCTAACAACGGTTTTACCGTGATCTATCAAGATAGAGCACATTAGGGTGATGATGAAACAATTCTAATAAATGACCCATGACCTTTCACCGAATAATAAGAGAAAAGTAAATACAAAGTCTAGTAAACATAGTGAAGGAATACCTTCCCTAACATAAATCAATCAAAGTACTCAGAAGTACAGAGAGCCGGGCTCATTTACAGAGTAGAATGGATTTCTTACATGAATCACGTTTATATTCTGATGAAAAAATTATTTTAAAACTATCAATATAAATGATAAGACACTGACAGTGAGTTTTTCAATCCTAATACCACGGTCCGATTTTGTCAGAATCAGAATTAATCTGGTACCGCGGCTGAATGTAAATTAACAGGCCAGTCTGGTTCCCTCTCCTGCTTTACCTCGTATGTGTAGAGAACTACGGTAACACTGATTATCAAAAATCCGTACGCTAATGAACTATGTTCTTTGACTTATGAAGTTTGCAAAGTCATTACTACTAATGTTTATTTAATATAGATAAAACTTCGTTTTATTTTTGTTGCTTTATTTAGCGTTTGTATTATCTCAAAAGCGGTTGAGAGTAAGAACTATATTTTTGCACGTAACTTTAAAATGGCGACTAGGGGGTCAACATCCTGCCTTGAACAGGATCACATAAGCCGGCAATTGCTCTTTGAGCAATAAGCCCGGCTAAAAACTAATTTTGCACGTCGATTTTTAAATCCAAAATGAAATTCAATCACACAGCGCGTTTTGAAATTTTTGACTCTCATATACTTGAAGCGTAACAAAGCTCTCACAATGAACTACATTTACAGGAAATGAGGTAAATATTCCAAGCCGTCTTGTTTTATTAATTCCAACACAAATCGACACATCCAGTATTTTGGAGAATCGCCGTACATCTCGGTCAAAAATGTATATTTTTCCATGCGGTATTCCTTGAACGTTTAAATTGCCCATTTGGTATTTTTACGAGTGTTAAGATTGAGTGACATGAAGAATTTTCTCTCATAATTTCAGTTTGCATCGAGAATTTCATTAGCATAAAATCACAACCGTCATCCATGGCGTTCAGACTTGAATGGCGAGGTAATTCTACAGTACAGTTTAAGAAATGCAGCGCGCTATACTTTTCGAAACACGTGTTCCTTTTTCATTGGTCAGATAAAATTGTATGATGAAATTTTGATAGATCGTGGCTAACTCAGTGCGTGAGAACACAGTCGAACTATGTGCTTTTAACGTAAAAAGTGATAGATCATGGGTAACTCAGTTCCTGGGAAGAATGATACAAAACATATAGAGTACCTTTCAACTCGTGCATCTTCAGATATCAGACTCTGGGGACAAGCCCCCCCCCCGCCCGTCTGATATCTGAAGATACACTCGTTGAAAGGTACTCCATATATTACTTGGACATCAGCAAGCATGTTCATGAAACATTCCTAAGTTTGTCCTAAGATTATTCCAAAGTATGACTTATGAAGAAAGTTAGGAACATTCTAAGATCAACTTAAGACATTTTATAAGATGTATCTCGACGTTAACTAAGGAAGATTTTAAGTTAGGGCAATTCCTAACGTACAATGAACACTTGTTTCTTAAACATTTATCGATAAATATAATATTTCATAGACATTTATCGCCAAAAAATACATAATGAAAAAAGGAAATCAATTTACATGTATATATGACCTCAGTACATTTTGATGTTTGCATTTTTAGAATTATATTTAGTACCGCTTGTAAATCGCATTGAAACAAACAAATTATGGTTAAGATTTATACTTTATAGATATTTTTAACCTTTCATTGATCTACCTTGATGATGATTATGATATAAAGCATAGACGTCGGAACCGGTGGGAGGGGGAGGACTTAGCCCCCCACTTTTATTTTTGTTGCAAAGATAGACATAATGTAGGCATTAGAAATTGAGGTTTAGTTTTTCTGTTGGTTAAGCCCCCCCCTCCTCCCCCGTCCCACTTTGAATTAGCCACCCACTTTCAATTTGCTTCCGACGCCTATGTAAAGTATTATAAATGTCTGTGTCATTTTTTGATAAATAAACTGATTAAAAATAAACTGATTTTTGTAGGACATAAAAAATGTGTTCAAACAGAGAATTTGAAGCCAACATTTTTTCTTGAATATTGGAACTCCCAATAATTTAAAGTATTAAAGTATAAATTATTAGAATGACAACTGTTCTAAATTCTTCGTAACTTGAAAAAGGGTATAATGTAATAAAAAAATGAAATTTTTAAGTGCGATATTCAAGTGCTTCTTGATGAGGTGGAAAATACGAGAAATATCATCTCTGTATTAAAACTATCGAAAATTGTAACATTTGTTGCAAAGAAGAGGCCTTTTGGTAACATTTCTTTTTTAATTATTCGTGTAAATCAACAGCTCACACATGGACTGCTGAGAAGCAAGAAATTGTCGCTAATTCTTGCAATGTACAAAATCAAAAGCATCACAACAAACTTGGGATGATCTTAGGACAAGCTTAATGTTGTTCTAAAGTTAGGAAAAACTTAGGCAACAACCTAAATTTAGGAAAGTTTCGAGAAACTGACATTTCCTAAGACGTTCTTTATACTTAAGACTAGGACATTTCCTAAGACGTTCTTAATAGTCCTAAGATAGCTTCGTGAACATGCTTGCAGATATCGATGCATGTAAAACCTTTATTTATCACACTTTACTATAAATTATAATACTGTACCATCAAAGTTATCAAATATGATAAGTGATATTATCATCATCTTGTATAATATATTTCTTTTTATAATACGTACCCCTTTTTTCTTAGGTGAACAAAAAAGACTGATTGGAAAAGACAACACCATAACCCCGACTCCTACCGCACAAAGAATCGGATTCACTGCAGTTACAACGGATCATCAGATGCATTTGATGATAGACAGTACTGTCCATTTCCTTAAAGTCATCACCAATGCCGGCAATGGGTTTGACCCAAACACAGGTATATTTCGGGCACCCGTTTCAGGTTTATACCTCTTCAGTGCATCCATTCTAAGCCTTGCTGGCCATGAAGTCCGATGTGAAATAGCAAAAAACGGAGACGTCGTGGCCTATATATTTAGCGGAGACAATGCAACGTATTCTACAGGAACTCAATCAGTTTTACTCGACCTCGTACAACATGATGAAATTTGGATAAAAATAACCAATAATAATGATGTGCATGTTCTAGGAGGTGGTTGGTCATCCTTCATAGGGGTATTGATATCTCAATAATTTAGTAAAGGTTTTGTCAAGCAAGACCCCTTTTCTGTATTTTTGATTTGATATTTTTAAAAAGCTCGACGTAAATATGTTCTCTGTGTTGGAATTCTACATATCATGATATGACATAAAAATCATTTCTGAAAAGATAAGCAGCGCTTCATACTTCAAACTGTTTTGCGTTACAGTCGCGAAGTAAGGAGTCAATCCTTACGTCGCGGGTTCAAATCCCACTGTGGGATGGGAGACCGTATAAACTAAGGTCCCGTGTCGCAGTAGGTGCTGGCACAAAAAAGATCCCTCCCTGCTCAATGGCCCTAAGTGTAGAGTATAGGACAAAATTAGCAGCTCTCAAACGACAAGTGGTGGCGTCTCCATATGAGTGAAAAAAAATTCGAGAGGGACGTTAAACAATATACAATCAATCAAACTGTTGTGGCTTTAATTTATGTTATTGTTGTTCATGAAAAACAATATTACAACTTTTAAATTTTCTTAATGAAATTTATAGCAGAGGCTTTTTTTTTATCATATTAACTTTTATTTACATACAGAATTACATAATTATGATAAGTAAGCAAAAGAAAAAATAATCTTTTTGGTTTTATTAAAGGACAAGATAGGGTAACAGCAGTATTTGGCCCCCAAGTTTTGCTGTCTTTCAGAATGATCCAACAGTTTATCCATAAAAACCTGTTGTTACCCCTGCCACAAAATGAGCATTGGTTTTAAGATTTAGAATATACAGGGGCCAAAGTGAGGTCAGAATGTAGGTCAATTTCCGTCATTTCTCAATTTCATGCAAATTTTCATCAATTTTACAGCACATTTTTTTTCGGAAAACATAGGGCACAGGCTTGCCTATCTACCAAATTTATATATATATTATACAATAAAATATCAGATGCAGTTTATGTGTAAAAATCTCAGATAGACAAGATTGTGCTATATGTTTTCCGAAGAGAAATATATCCCAAATATGATGAAATTCCACCAGAATTGAGGAAATTCTAGAAAATGCCCTATCTCTGCGCCCTCTAGTGGATTCCATGTAAGTTTGAGTCAAAATTAGTACTTATACATATTAAAGTGAGGATCATTTTAACTTCTGAACTACAAACTATCACAATTCTACCATTGTTCTGATTTTTATATCAAATAGGGGGCCAGATTCGGCTGTTACCCTATCTTGTCCTTTCTGCTTTAAAATGCACCCATAAAATACATGAAATAGTTCCTGTCTTATTGTTTGGCTTATCAACAAACTTTTCTTACCATTGTTCTTATATTTAAGGAATGAAGCTTATTTCAACTTATGTTATCCGATATAACATAACTTGGGGCAGTTTACGCTTTATAAACCGCGAAGCGGTTTATAAACAAGCGTAAACTGCCCCAAGTTTTGTTATATCGGATAACATAAGTTGAAATAAGCTTCATTTCTTATAATTTAATTTCATTGTAGACAATGAGACAATATTTCCTCCGGAAAAAGGCTTCAAACTGAGCATTATTTTAAAAGTAACGTCAAGCGGAGAGATGCGTTTTTTATGTAACTCATTGTGACGTAGGCAAGTTATGTTATACGAAATGGATAAAACCGTTTAACCAATCAAATGACGCGTTAAATCTGAAATTAAATTATTTAAAAATAAAATTCCTTAGTCAAAGCCTTTTGCCGGTATATCGATATTGCAAGAACGTATTGCGATACGATATTGTTTGTCGTTGTATTGCAATATACCGAAATATCGATATTTTTGCCCAGCCCTACTTTCTAAAATGCATGGTAATGCATGCTGATTTTTGTCTATGTACATCTTATGACCTTTAATCTTAAAAGTATTTAGAAAATTAATCTTAAAGGAAACACATGAAATTGACTCATAATGTATTTTACGCTGCTCCTCCTTG